GCTTCTATCGAATTTAAAGTCGATAGCTTTGCTTTTGCAGTCAGAAGAATCTTTACAACAGACATTACACAGACGGACAGACGGCCAGACGGACCTGCGTAAATCGATACCGAATTTCATTCCGATCAAGAACATGTACACTTTGTGGACTCTCTGTAGCGATCCTCTGGACTTTGCAAAAGTTTTGAAAAAATGAAGATACCCCTCGGTGATGGGTGTAAAAATAGGTTATATATTATATTTAAAATTTACTTTTCTTATATATCTTCTTCTGTTGTATTTGTATTATAATATGTTCTTTACATACGTACAACGTGTTTCGTAGTACTTTACTTATACAATGCTACCATAAATTTTATTGAAAATCGAAACTTTTTGTTAGTTTTGAAAAATGCTTGCTAAACAATAATTAAAGAAGATAGATAGGTTATTTTTAGGGTAAACCTTGTATACCAATTATTCACGACCGACACGTAAAGATTGTATAGTTTTCGGGTAACGGATGGTATGCCAATTGATCAATTTATACCATTTAAACATAAGCTTATGCGTAGGGTTTGTGATAAACATTTGTGTTAAATTTCAAACTTGCATTTACATACATATATGCATACAAGTAAACCAAATAAGTGATTTACGGCGAAAGTAAGTTCCCGCTATTTTTAGTTCAGCTAAATTTGCATCAAGCAGAGTTGAGGGTTAAAGGGATGTCATAACAATTAGGAAAACAACAAAAACAATTAGCAAAAACACATTTAACAAAGTTTTAAAAAACGCTTTTATTTTAAGTTAAAAGCTTTGAATAATTGCAAATATTAATTTTGCACAATGCACTTTATAACAGGATTTATGCCTGTTGCGATGATATTCTTTTTGGATTTTCATAGTCTCCTTAAAATATGTTATCAAATTATTTTGCTGAATTTCGTGTATAACAAGAGTCGTGATTCCGATGCATTAAGTAAGTCATGAAATTCTTTCCAAAATTTTATACTTTCAGCTCTTAAGAGTGAACTTTTTGATCAGTATGAACGTAGAACGCAATGCATCGCTTGCGGTACAAAGGTATATTAATTTTGTGCACATGTATGCAATACCCAGAAGGACTTGAGATAGACCCATCTTTTGTTGTACCAATCCAATATGAAAATGATTCTTAGCTTGTCTGTCCGCCTGTCCGTCGTATTTTCTTGTGTTCAATAGATTTAGTATACTGATGCGCCCACCATTCCCCGTGTAGTAACTCTTTGTTTTGAAAAGTCGTTATATGACTAACCGTTGGTCAGTGTCGCGTATTTCAAGGTATATCGGAACCCTTAAGAGTCTCTTCACTTGTTCATTTTGAGAATCTCATTAATGGGCGGGCAGAGGGACACACCGAACCGATGATTAAGAATACATTTTACTACGCTCTTCCTTTTGTGCGTATGTTCGAAAGTTATATACTAAGGGATTATATAACAAATTCTATTGTGCTAATGATTAAAGTAGGGCTTCTTAGTGAACACCTTATCGATTAATATAACACACAAATTAAACGAAATTCTTTACATAATTTGCACAAGTCTCTTGTGCTAAAAGTTGGCAATAGAAACTTTTCCTTTGAGGAAAAGCGTGTATCTGTTACGCACTACTTTTGAAGGTGTCACATGTCATCTTCTTCTGGATATTAATTAACTAAATTACACTCTTTTACAAATGTAATTACATGGGATGGCATAAAAAGCCCCAAGCAAAAAAAAAAAAAAAAAATAGAAGCGGTTTAAAAACCCAATTTTTTTTTTTTTTTTTTTTTTTTGTTAGTGTGTATGTAAAAATGTACGATAGCTTGTTTCAAATTTCCAACAAAGATAAAGATAGTTAGCTAACGAAAATGTGACCAGAGGCAATAAACAAATACACATGTGTATGAAAATTTCATTTTCCAAATACAGAAATACGTAGAAGAAGTTCTTTAGCACATTTATATAACGCATACATATGCATTACATGTGTATAGTTAAATTTATGTTAAGGTGTGAATTTAGATAAAGGTTGCAATGAACGCAATAGTAAATGAAATTATTCATGAAATTCAAGTGAGTTTTATTCATTCACCAGATGGTTTTTGTCTAAAATTTTGCTTTAGGTCTTTATGCTCTTATCGAGTGTACCTCTTGTTTTCTGCCACGTTTATTAAAACATTAATGTGTATGTTATATATTTATATATATAAATGCAAATGGTTTCAAATATGTATGTATGTATGTATGTATGTATGCATGGACATACCATATAAATAACAAAAAATTGTTTATCTTTAATTAAATCAAAAAATTTTATTTAATTGTGCCTGAGAGTAGTTTAGCCATGAGTTTGTTTCTTCTATTCACCGATACAAGCTCGCATATACTTGCGTAAAAGCAATAAGTATGTGTGTGCATGTGTGTGCGTATGTGTGTGTGCGCATTCGATTAAGATCCGCAAGCAAACACTGCTCGCATCGATGCTAAATTTACAAAAGTCTTATTGCATTTGATGCCTTAAAGTTTGTTAAACGTGGGTTCGCTTGGGTTACGCAAATAATTAGGATACTAATTAAGTTGTTGCTGTTGCTGTTGTTGTCCTTTCTCATAACAAGGATTGTTTCAATTAGAAAACTTGTAGTTAAATTAAATTATTTTTACGAGTTAAATTAGCTTAGAGCGTAAAGATACCAAATTCATAGATCAACAAGATTGAGTTTCAAAAATTGCTTTAAAAACTGTTTTCCTAGAAATCTATCCAGCAAATGTTTCACACTTAAATATGGTTTACTTTAAAATCTAAATAAAATTGCATACATATATATATCCAAGGAGCTAAAAATAAAGCAAATCAAACCAAAAAAAAAAAACAAATCTTTTATTTCATATATGCTTCCATTTTATATGCGGTCATCTGCTTTAATGTCTTTGGTAACCTCATGACTTGGCATTTGGTTTAAAACCTTTCGACCCTTTAACCGTAAAAATGTGAAGCACGACATTATATCATCTTCACACGTAATTGCATTGTACGCAAAATTTGATGTAAATGACAGTTAGAGGATTTTTGCTTCGGGGTAGAGAGTATGATATAATTTTTCATGGGAACTTTGATAATTTCACACAAACTTCCAAAGCTGATCCTTTGACGCATTTGTTGCTGTAAGTGAATACCCTAACTGAATGTTTCTTTTCTTAACTCTACATGCACTTTAAGCTTTCTGGGGCCGCAAACCGCGGAATCACGTATTTGTTTTGATGACAAACAATAAGCCATCGATATCAATTTGGTGACTCTTCTTTGGAAGCAATGTCGTAGTTGTCTTTCTTAGAAAAGACTCACCTTTCATTATACCGATTGATTGAGAAGCAATTTCTAAAACTATTTAAGCTTATCTGGTCTTCTCACTGTTGCTGTTCAAGCTAACGGTCGCAATTTTTGAGATGTGTGCTTTTGACTCAATGAAACTATGTAAAGTGTTTCGAATCGCATCCATTTTTTCAATCATTTTCTGTATAACACTTGATTTTGAATAGTCGTTATGTGATTAACTGCACGATAATTTAGGGCATTTAATGGTGAGTTTTATCCAATTAAAATAATTTTACTTTTTCTTCTTCTTCTTAAAGGTGTCAAGACTAATGGACCGATCGATGCTATTTTCAATTGTAATTACATCTGCTTATTAAAATTTTCGCGGGTATCTAAGGAAACATCCTACGTTAGTGTCTTGCAAAATTTGCGATTACCATAAGGCAAAGAATAGTAAATAAAAAGGCGAGTAGAAGTTCGTGAAATTTTTTCCTGAATAAGTACACAAGCGAGTAAAGGTTAGGAAGATTATTATAGATTCGTTAATTGGAGTTGTACTCATAGTTTTCGAAGTTAGTGCAAACATCCGCTAACGTGAAGCTCCCTTGGCACAGCAAGAACGGCATTTTGGCTGGATACTCATTTTGTTGAAACGTTTCCAAAAACCCGAAGCAAAGTTCACACCCGTGATAAAGCACATGTGTTCTTGTTTAGCGTCATACTCGGCAACGATGTGAGTCCGTGTCCGTGTTTCCAAAAATACATTCGATTACTGCCAAATATATTAGACTCAACCTGAAACCTGTTTTTGTGCACTCACGCGGTTCTTATTCACCGCACAAAAACAGATTTGCGTGTAAACCTGTTTATGTGCGCTCTTTTTTTGTGCGTTTACGCGGTTTTTATTCACCGCACAAAAACAGATTTGAGTGTAGCTACAAAAAAAATAATTTTCCCATCACAGTTCAAATGTTTTTTTTTTTTTTTAATGGGGACAGAGTAACGCACAAAAAAAGACAGGTTTGAATGCATAACATTTCCATTGGTTTTAGCTTCTTCCCGATCGTAACACATTTCAAGTGAATTTTTTTTAAGTACACACTAGGGCTGATAGGCAGAGGTATGTGAGTCAAATGAAGTCCATTCAAACGAAACCATTTTATACGATTTCTCCGTTTAACCGTTTAATTTATGATATTTTAGTCATGACGTTGTTCTTTGAATTATCTATTGATTACTAATGCAAATGCCACAACGATTAGTTAGCTAACCGAAGAACTAATTGTAGATGTAAACTTTAGCGTGAATATACAAGTATTTTCAAGGTCAAGGTTTTCTTTGCCCTAGTTTTATATGGAAGAATTGATCTTCTTGCTTCGACAATAAACTGAATGAATTATTAACGTTGTGCGTGTATTCAAGGTAAAGATTGATTATCGAAGTGAGAAATTCCAAATGATTTACTTAAAGATATAAAATCTTTTGAAAGTTTCTTTTTCATTTAAAAATTGCTTTAATATCAATGCGTTTCCATTCAAAGTCATTGCTTGTTGCCTAATGTTTATTCAATATCACTGTAAAGGGAGAGCACATCAAACATGTATGCTTTCAACGGTATTTATTTGTACATTACCTTTTATCTATTTTCTTTAAATAAATAAACGTAAACCTATTTAACTTACCTCCCAAATAAGACGAAAATCTTGTTGCTCAACACGTAGCAGTTCGCAAGTTGTTTTTGTAACAACCGTACTATCGCGTGGCAAATCATGCAATATTGATTCACCAAATGTTGCACCAACACCCAAATTACATAGCGTTACCGGTGACTAAAAACAACGAGAAGAAGAAGAAAAATAAGAAGAAGAAAAATAAAAAAAAAATCAGAGAAATTATATAAAACAGTTATTAGCAACAGTAAGAGAAAGTAGGAAAAAACGATTTTCCTACTTTTAACCAGATAGATTATGAACATTTCCTAATGGGCGTACAACTACTACCAGCAGGTTATTAAGGTAAGCATAAGTTTAAGTGCGATTATATGTAATTGTTTTTCAATTTCTTAAAGCAAATCCTTACAATTATACTCATTGATATCATAGGAAAATTGTTGACCATATAGTAGCTTAGTAGTAAATAAAGAAAGTTAACTTTAATCACTTTGGACTTTGTTGCAACATCACATCTTTTACCGGTTAGTCAGACTTGTCTTATATCTTACCGTACAAGCACATATAAATTCTATTTGCATTGGTCTCTATTCAAATCGATAAACTTATACAGTCTATAGTGTCTACAAATATTTATAGAAAAATTACAAAAAACAAAAAGGAGCAAAGATATAAACAAATGCAATAATGAATTGTGCAAATAATAAACCATTGGAAAACCACATTTTTGTGGTTACAGAATGTTTATTTGAATTTACTCGCAATTAGATAAACTTACGACTGAGTATTATTATTTGAACATTACCATATATATGTTTATATAGACAAACAAAAAAAAAAATATATATTTTTTTTGAAAGTTTTTTGTTTTCTGCTTTAAAAAAAATTAAGCAAATATCAATACTGGCGGTGAAAATGTGTTTCGTTTATATAAATATATTAACGTAAATATATTAATGTAACTTTAGCCAAATTCCACGTCATGTTCGATATGAAGAACAGAAATGAATTGTGAATGATTGTAACAAATACTTGTCTAAGCTTTGTTTGCCTTGCTGTCTTCACTGTGACGAATTGACCTCTTATCATCATTAGGTCTCTTACCCATATCAAACGTATGGCAAACCGTGACATCTACCTTTTTTACTTGAATTTTTATTTATTCCGTTTGATCTGAACAGATCGCCATTGAAGTGAGGTGTTACTGTTTCTATTATCCTTTTCTAGTGAAAGTCCTCGTAATTGCCCTCATCACATTTCCTTAGACATTACACTCGTTTGTGTTATGAAGACCATCTGAGATTTGAGTAAGAAAAAGGGTGGAGTAGATATTACAAAAATAGAGATCCTCTCTTTGTCTCTTTCAATAATCAGTTAAGAGTGTTCATCACGTTACAGTGCAGTTTTCATCATCATCGAAGAACTTTATAAGTTCAAGTCTTGTACTGTTGTGACAATGAGACACTGAAAAGTTTTTAAGGATCAAGACAGTTTTAAAAGTGAAAAAATGGAGAAATATAACACCAAAACCAAAGTTTTAAGTATCTAAGAGGAGTGGCAGACACAGAGACAGACATGATTAGGTTGCAAAATTGATTCCATTATTATTTTGGCGATGAACAACTTGTGTATTATTATAAAGATAGCATTAGCTAATCGGCCTTCTGAATAATGCACTAATATATATAACATATATGCATATATGTACTATTGCGGGGTCTCTGGTGTTCAACTCTTGGTATTGTAAGCGAAAAAGTAACTCTATATATACGTGAACGCTCCGAAGACCGCTTTGCAAAATTTTCTTTCAAAAAAAATTTAAGTTTTTGAAATGTGTTTCATAATCAATTTTTGATTCGATTTTCTCATTAATCTGCAACCCCAGCATGATGAAAGTGACCCTCCGCTTGCAAACATTCTTCCTCAATTTCTTTTCTTGAAGAATTTATGAATAGAAGTGCCTGTCTTGCTGGTGTCTGGTCGCAAAACGAGGTGGGGAGAAAGCGACACTCGAATGCATAACATAAGTTAACATCGATCTTCGCCTCGGATTCCTCGGCTTGATTCGTTCCAAGCCTTAAAGCTATTCGACAGTCGGCTTCATAAATAAATTCCCCTACAATTTGAGAGAGCTAAAAATGAATAGGTAGGACGTCAGGGCAGTAACCTTTCAGCAGGTATTCATTTGGCAAAGAAATTCTTTTTCAGAACCCCTTGGACAAAAATTACGAAATTCGGTGAATTTTTCTCCACAGACAATAAAAATATATATATTTTCTTCTTTTTTTTTTTGAGAAAAGTTTACAATGCAATGACTTTCTTCTCCCTTAAGGGTTCTAACAAACAATAACGTTTATGTGCGGACAAACCATATCACGATTTATATTATACACGACGCGCGGATCAATAATATGCCTCAATGCCATTTAAAGCTACAGCTGCAGCTGAAGTTGTTTCTTCGATTGCTGCGAAAAAGCAAAATGATTGTCTCTACATTGCGTTGCTTGTAGCAACACCAAAAACGTCAAACGTAGCATAATCTACACGAGGAGATATTTTTTTTTATTCTTCGCTGTACGCTAAATATGAATTGCGCTCTGGTCGTTGTTGTGCCTTTGGGAAAAGTGGACAAGTGAATATAGCATATCAGTATTTGCAGCCATTGCCATAACTGTCAAAGCTGTCTACCGAAAAGTATTTCGCCTCAAAAGGTGCTCAGTGTTTTTTGCAATGCCCTACCTCTGCTAATTGATTTCAACTAGCATTCGCTACGATATGAAGTATAATTTGAAATCTCTGTGCGTCAACTCGCAAAAGAATTTGTGGTAGGTTCACCTTTCATTATGGTCGCAAATGATTTAGGGTAGATTTAAGTATATCCGCCCACCTGCCCATTTGTCTATATTCCGTCCATAGATTGGTTTATTTAACTTGTTGGTCGTCATTTTTGAAATATTTTAGGGAAGCTACGCAACCTTACATCTTTTATATCGGGGACGAATACTATCAAAAACAGATTGGATCGGAACACTTTTGGGACCATTCCCCACATGGAGCGTTACTTTGAAAAAGTCATTATATAAAAAAATATGTTCCGTTTTGAATGTTTCTCTGGAAAAACCGGTGAAAGATGGAATTTTGATTTAAGAAAATCAGGAAATAGGTACAACCATTAAATGTTATATAGCAACAAATTCGAACTTTTCATATTTATGAAAAAATTTGTACAAAACGCCTTGAATTTGATATCGCTTGAATAAGTTTGTACTTTGTAGGCCTATTTTTCGGGCTCTTGCCGAGAGAAGATTCTCGTTAAAGATAAGCATTTGTATGATAAGAAGATGTACTTCGAGGTAATCTGCGAAGACGTTTGTTACGTGAAAGCTAGCATTTGATGGTATTTAATAGTTGGCCTTGCCTGACTATCGTGTTGTAACGCGTTTTTTAAGTAGCCATAGACTGTAAAGGGTAACTGTAACTTCCTGCGGACCACAAACATGAATTTGAATATATTATGCAATTTGTTTCAAAAGCTGCAGCTCCGAACATTCCGAACTTTTTCCTTTTTTTCATAATGCGAAAGATGAATGTGAATTAGATCGCAGCACAATTTAAGTAAATATATTTTGAAAATAATCACAGAATGCAAGGGCTCGCATGTGTTATTTGGCCTTATGTCATTTATAACAAAGAATGATTAACGCTGGTCGTTGTTTTAACTCGCGTATGCGGATGTGATTATGAACTTTTCCAAGTGAACAGTTGCGGTTTTGTATATGTGAATGTATATACGGATGTTCATAAATACATACACACACACACAAACATAATCACACATACATATATGTATATGTGTATATATATAGTATAAGATATATTATATTACATATATACATATATTTCACATAAACATACGCACATATACACATGTACATGCACATATATATATATATATATATATATATATAATATATATACGTATACATATTTGCGTACATTTCATTTCGTTTTTAATACAATTCATTTTCAAATAACCAAAATTTATTTACCTTTGCATAACGTTTCGTCGATTGCTCCACATCGTAGAGACCACGACGTGATAACATGTTTAATGCGTTCAATACAGTTTATATTTAATAGATATATACATACAACGATATAATTCCATACGCACACACATACACATGTACACTCGATTACACTTCGTCAGGTAATCAATAGCATATCAAATAATGAGGTACACAAGTGCTTGAATATAGGTATACGATCTCACACATGTAAACGTATTCGAATGTTCCTTTACATATATTATTATTATTATTATTATTATTTTATTTTACTTTATATTATGGTTAAGTGAATGGGCTGCCGTAACAACGATAACAACGATACCAACGGTAACAGCAATAATTTGTTGAATGATTTGATTGTTGGACTTGAGCAAGTGAATGTCTGTGCTGCAAATATTGATATTATGGTCACATGCACGCATTGCCATACCATGCACAAATATGCGCTTTCACATAAGCACACTTTAATGCGAACGTGTACAAATCGCTAACATTGTAATGTTGAACGAAGAATTTCAATTTCGCTTTTGACGGTCAATGCTTTTTAAAGAAAAAAAAAAAAAAAAAAAAAAAAGGAAAAATAAAACAAAATAAAAATAATAACGCCAACAAAAACAAGAAGAAGTGTTAAAATTATATTTATTGCTGTTAACGATGTTTCCGGATGATTTTTTTTTGAAGTGTTTTACATTTTAAAAGCATTTTTTATAACGTAATTCAAAATAAGCACTCAATTAAAGTTAATAATAATAAACATTTTAACATTTCTTGTTAAATTAAACACTTTATAAGGTAACACCTTTTATTATTTTATTTTAATTTTTTTTATTTTTTTTTCTTTCATTTTGTCTACTGGCTTGATTGATATACGCACTTGGGTGTTTGTGAGTTCAGTTGAGTTTTCAGTGTTTTGTTATGGCGGCGTAAAGCTTTTAATGCATGGCCGCTCCGGCTTATGTTTGTTGGCACACTGAAAACTTCATGTAAACCGGTGTTGCATTCAAGCCCAAAAAAACAAGCAACCGCAGCACAACAAACAAATATATTAACAGATAATACGTATACAATGTACATAACATGTTCACAACG